AGTCGGGCACATGTGGCCCGCGGGCCTCGAGTTTGACACATGTGGTTTAGAGGAATGAAGACTGGAGTACATCAAACAGACCACACATCTGTTGGTGCTTGATTAGAAATAAAGATTTATTGGTCAAGATTGCAAATACAAATCTATATCAATGCACATGTTCATGAGTCACTAAATTTTAAGCAGACAGTCTGGCATAAACAGTCTGTAGCTCCATCTGGATGGTGAAAGTGTAAACAGTTTGTATCCAGGATGTGTGGGGTCTGCAGAGATGTTGGCTGCCCTCTTCCTGACCCTAAACCTGTAAAGTCCTGTATGGAGGGAAGGTCAGCCTTGAAGATCCTCTCTGTAGAAAACAACCAGCTGATCATTCAGGTCATCTCCAGTTTCCTGTTTGAAACACAGTTTAAATCTGACCAGTAAGGTTTCATTGGCAGTTTGAATTCTTCATGCTGAGGAAATCAGAGCTGATGTTTGCTTACTGAGATCTTCATCGGTAGGATTTTGAGAGGATCTTCAGCATTGAAGAATGGAAACATCTTGTCAGTGAAGGTGTGTGTGAAGGTGTGTATGTGTGTGTTAGTATCCAGATCAGTGAAAATCAGTTTTCCTCCGTCCCAGTCGAGATTCACTCGAATCCTCTCGAGTTTCTTCTGGACTGAGAGAACTGTGAAAGGAGCTGATGGAAACCCTGCTGAGTATTTACCTTTATAGAGCTGCATAACCAACAATCCAGACTCCACCTTTTCCTTCCACTGGACAGACTCTGCTAACACACCAAGTTCCCAGCCTTCACTGTCTCCAACATCAACATCCCAGCTGTGGTTCCCTGAGTTAAAACCCTCAGAGCCCAGGACAGACCACGAGTAACCAAACCTCTCTGGATTATCAGGAAACTGCTGTTCGTCTCCTAAAGTCAAACTGGTCAGATCTTCAGACAGGAATAGTTTTGGACCAGCCGTGTTTGGGTCCAGAACCAGAGGAGTGTAGGTCACCATGCCCTTCATGTTGCTCCAGATGTTGAAGGCCAGGTTGCCCAGATGTTTGGCCTGGTCTATCAGAGCTCCTGAGGGCAGCTGTGGATCCTCCAGCAGGGGGCAGCACTGGACTCTTTCCACTGCAGCCTTGTAGTTGTGCAGGAATGAGACGTCTGCAGCTCTCAGCTCCTCCTCTGTGGCTCTGACTGTGTCTGAAAGAGCTGCTATCTCTCTGCTCAGAGCCTCCATCTTCTCCTCCATCATCCCTCTCTTCTGCTCCTCTTCCTCCCTCAGTGCAGCCAGCCTGGCCTCCTCTTCCTCTGCCAGAAACTGATGAAGCTTCTTAAACTGCTCAACAATCTGCCTCTCTGTGTGTCGGGCCTGGACCTTCAGGTGTTCTGCTGTCTGATCAAACTCCTCTTTAACTTCCTTCCTGAGCTCCAGCTTCTTCTTTAAAGATTTCAGAGTTTCCTGAAGTTTCTTCCTGTGTTGCCTAGCAGCTTCATTGATGGGTCTGAATCTGTGGTTGGTGTGTTTTTCTGAATCTCTACATACAAGACAAACTGGCTCCTGATGGTCCAGTCAGAAGTGTTTGAGTTTCTCAGAGTGCAGAGAGCAGAGATCCTCTGAAGCATCTTGGATTTTCTGCTGTAAGAATGATTCACAGAGTCTCTTCAGAGTCAGACTAACTGGAGGATCTTCTCTGTCAGATCTTTCCTACAAACAGGACATGAACGTCCAGGTCTTGCTCTCCAGGAGTTCTTCAGACATTCCTTACAGAAGCTGTGGCTGCATGACAGAACAACCGGATCAACAAAGACTTCTTTGCAGACCGGACAGCAGAGATCCTCCTCTAATCTGGCAGCCATTTTGTGTCCGGGTGACCCTGAAAAAGCAGCAGAGAAAATAATTCATCACTTAACAGACTTGTTATGACTTGTTGTTCCCGACCACTCACGTCTTCTGGGTCTAATCTCCTCTGTATCCCCACAACCAAACTGGTGAAGCAGTATTCAGCTTCTATGCACCACAAATCTGGGAAATACTTCCAGAAAACTGCAAAACAGCCAAAGGTGATTTGCCGAACAGACCAAAACCTAAACAGGTTTGGTCTCTAAATACTTAGAAAAAAAAAAACTACAACAACACCCGTTTAGAGTTTCTTTTACTCACAATAACTGGAACATTGAAAAACCGATTCCAGATAACTTTATTTCAGTATTTTTATGAGTCCTGAGTATTTATAAGATGGGCTCTTTCCGTCCAGCTCTAAAGTTGCCGTGAAAGACTTAGAATATCACTGACTAATTCCTGGAAGAAACATTTAGCAAAAATATTAGATACCGAGTCTAACATTTAATTGCTGCATGGAGAGAACGGCATCGACGAGGACAGCTAAGCGGGGTCCTTTATTAGCAAGATCTGCGGTAGCTAGCAGCTAACAGAAATTACTCACCGGCCGTTACATTAAAGGGGGTTTTCCGTAACATAGAAAATCAGATTCAGTTTCTTTACTTACTTGAACCTAAAGTCCTGAGCTGTCTTCAGTCTGCGAACCTCTCCGTTGTTCCAGATCTTCTGAGTATCTTTGGAAAATCTTGCTCTTTTAGGTTCCCTCTTCTTTGTGTTTATTGGTGACATCTTGGCGCATTATCGCCACCACCTGGTATGGAGTTTGGACAACAGTGTCACTTCAGGTTTAGATCCTACCAAATGTGTCAGTTTACGAGAACTAAATGTGGCCTGATAACTTTTACTGTTTGGGTTAAATCAAAGTAAACGGAATGAAACTGGTTTCAGTCTTCAGTTTTCATACAGGATATAAAGGATTAATAGGATATTATAGGAGATCGGCCTGTGGTTCCTTTTTACTTTCACCGTTTTCTGCTTTAAACACTAGAATTTCAACACATAATTACATAATTTTTCACTAGTTAAATCAGATGTTAGCACTTGAGTTGTCTTTTTAACATTTTTTTATGTAAATCTACTTTCTTCAGCTGTTTAATGGACAGCAGACACAGAGAGCACACCCAATTCACACATCTGCCAATGATTGATCAGAAAAAGCTTTATTCTCCTGTTTAGTAGTTATGTATGAATTGTTTTGTATACAGTACTGTTACAAAAGAAGACAAGGCTGAAAAAATGCAAATATTCATAGTATTGACTGCCAGTAGAGAAGTTGGTCACTATTAAGAGTCAGAGGGACAGTCCGGTGGAAGAATCTTTCTTTGTGACGCCACCCAGAAGCTAAAAGACTAACCGGCTTGTGTCCAGCATGTGTGGGGTCTGCAGAGACGTTGACGTCAGACATGTACAAAGTCTGGATGGAGGAATGATCAGGTTGATTGGTCTTTGTAGAATTTCTGCCATGGCTGTTGTTCCTAGCAAAAAGTAAGATGTTCTGGATGGAAACACACACCACCTGAGCTCCCAAAGGGTTTACCGTAACTAACCACCACCTCCACCCAAACCCAGCAAAATGTGCCCTTCATCTCTTCTTTGACATCTTTAGTGTCCTCCCCGTTTACATATCTCCGTGTGTGCCGTTCAGACACTGATCAACACACACGGAGCAACTGCTGGATCTGAATCACAGTTTCCCCAAAACCCAAGGCCCATCCCCACCCTCAGTTTGACTGGCTAGAAGACCCGTCTAATGTGGTTTGAACTGAAAGCTGTGCCTCAGTTATATCAAGAAAAATGTTTAATAAATCAAATTCATATATACTTTATTAATCCCAAAGGGAAATTAAATGTTGTTGTAGTTCATTAATTCAGGTTCTTCTTGCAAGAGTTATTGAGATGGTAGAGGATGTTGGTAGGAAAGCTCTCTTGTAGCAGTGTGTATTACAGCAAATGTGAAGAAGCCTCTGACTGAAGATCCTCAGTTTTCTCATCCTGCAGAGGATGGTTAGGGTTGTCCATATTTCTGGGCGAACCAGACCTTTTTGTCTAATAGTTACGGTACGGCGGACATCCAGGACGGTGCCAGAGTGTCATCAGCTCTGTGTTTCTCCAGGTCACCTCAGTCTGGTACAGGCAGGTTGTTCATCACAGCAATGAATGGATGGCTCAGAAGTTCCTCAGATAAAACAGAAACTATCATTTCTGCTATTGGTCCATGGAGCAGTAGATGGTCCCAAATACGTTTCTGAGTTCTTAGTCAAATATGAACCAATTAAGTCTCCAGAGATCTGTCTGTACAGCGTTCAAGAACCAGAACAGAACAAAGTGAGGCACCTTTTAGTCTCTATTCTGCTCAGATCTGGACCAAACTGCCTGAACACCTCAGATGTTTATATTCTGAGGCATTTGACATATTGAGCCCCCTATTTAATCAAATCTTGATGAATGTATTTTAGATGCTTACCCTTGAATTTCTTGCAAAGCATTTTGAAATCTTTTCTTTGTGATGGTATGAGATGAACTGACTTTGCCAGTTTAAGCTTCACATCATGCACGTCATGTCACATTCAGTTTCTGGCTTACGAAACTGATCTGAAAACATGATGAGTCAGATCACCTCCAGTTTCCTGTCTAAAACCACAGAGTTTAAATTTCATCAAGAAGCTTTAACTTGGACAGAGCTGCTGTTTGTTCACTGAGATCTCCATGGGCAGGATTTTGACGTTGGTACAGACAAAACACGGAAACATCTTCTCACTGAAGGTGTGTGTGAAGGTGTGTATGTGTGTGTTAGTATCCAGATCAGTGAACGACAGTTTTCCTCCGTCCCAATCCAGATTCACTCGGATCCTCTGGAGTTTCTTCTGGGTTGGGAGAACTGAGAGACGAGCTGAAATCCGTGCTGAATATTTACCTCCATAGAACTGTATAACCCAAAATCCAGACTGTATCTTCCCCTTCCTCTGGGCAGACTCTGCTAACACACCCAGCAACCAATACTGACCGACTCCCGCATCAACATCCCAGCTGTGGTTCCCGGAGTTAAAACCCTCAGAACCGAGGACGGACCACTCTGGTCCAAACCTCTCTGGATTATCAGGAAGCTGCCGTTTCTCTCCATACGTCCCACTCGTCAGATTTTTAGACAGGAAGAGTCTTGACCCAGCCGTGTTTGGGTCCAGAACCAGAGGAGTGTAGGTCACCATGCCCTTCATGTTGCTCCAGATGTTGAAGGCCAGGTTGCCCAGATGTTTGGCCTGGTCTATCAGAGCTCCTGAGGGCAGCTGTGGATCCTCCAGCAGGGGGCAGCGCTGGACTCTTTCCACTGCAGCCTTGTAGTTGTGCAGGAATGAGACGTCTGCAGCTCTCAGCTCCTCCTCTGTGGCTCTGACTGTGTCTGAAAGAGCTGCTATCTCTCTGCTCAGAGCCTCCATCTTCTCCTTCATCATCCCTCTCTTCTGCTCCTCTTCCTCCCTCAGTGCAGCCAGCCTGGCCTCCTCTTCCTCTGTCAGAAACTGATGAAGCTTCTTAAACTGCTCAACAATCTGCCTCTCTGTGTGTCGGGCCTGGACCTTCAGGTGTTCTGCTGTCTGATCAAACTCCTCTTTAACTTCCTTCTTCATCTCCAGTTTCCTCTTTAAAGGCTCCAGAGATGTTTTCAGTTTCTCTCTGTGTTGCTGAGCAGCTTCATCGATGGGCCTGAATCTGTGCTTGGAGTGTTTTTCTGAATCTCTGCAGACGAGACAAACTGGCTGCTGATGGTTCAGACAGAAGAGTTTGAGTTTCTCAGAGTGCAGAGAGCAGAGATCCTCTGAAGCTTTTTGGATTTTCTGCTGTAAGAATGATTCACAGAGTCTCTTCAGAGTCAGACTAACTGGAGGATCTTCTCTGTCAGATCTTTTCCTACAAACAGGACATGAACGTCCAGGTCTTGCTCTCCAGGAGTTCTTCAGACATTCCTTACAGAAGCTGTGGCTACATGACAGAACAACCGGATCCACAAAGACGTCCTTACAGACCGGACAGCAGAGATCCTCCTCTGATCTGGAAGCCATTTTGTCTCTGAGTGAAGCTGAAACAGCAGCAGAGAAAATGTTCAAGAAGGAAGCCAGTTTCCTGTCTGCAAAAAATTCAGTATATTATAGAAAATGTGTTTTTTCTTACTATGAAAAGTCGGCAATCCCTCTGAACTACTAAGGTTTTTAAGAAAACAGCTAATTTCATTCATCATTAATAGATCGATAAGATCTTTATATTAACTCATTAACCAATCACTCAAATCCCTAAAGTCCAACCTCAATTTCATTTGGACAAACCGCTGCCATTTTATTAGAATAATTGATGTAATTAAATTTTGATAGGAGGAGAGATCAAATACGATTGATTTTAATCCAGTGACTCAAGTGGTTGCAAAATTTTATTAAAACAAAATATGGAAATCTTAAATTTTATTTTAATGAAGCACATGAATGTTGTAATAACAAAAAAGTTCAATCTTCATAGCAACATGTTAATGGTTTAATTTAACACTTTTCAGGTTAAATTAAATTTCAGGTTTTCAAATATTTCATATAGATTTAAAGAAAATGTTTGTTTTTGTTATTTCTTGAACAATCTCTCTAAAATGTCAGCTGATAAAGGCTGTTTTGATATGTAAGGATAATAAAAATGACTGAATAAATAAAAATAAATAAAACGCACTGTTGTTTTTGTTAGCAAAAAGAAATTAACACGAAAAGATAAATAACTAAAAACCTGCTGTTAGCGACCAGGTCAGTTTAGCTTCGCTGTGTATCCTCAAGTTAAAACTACAACAACTAGACACTTCAAACCTGGACTGGATTATTCTGCTCTAATAGCATAATATTTATAACCATGTTTTGGATTTGTGAAACCTTTTTCTGATTTGTGAAACTTCAAAAAAGGCTGATTTCACCACTTTAAAAATCTTTGTCACACGTGATCTGCTCCAATTCCAAATCTACAACACCTAGACTCTTCAAACCTGGACTAAATTATTCTCAACTAACAGCAGAATATCAACAGAATCAACAGAATCAACCTTTATTGAAGTTTCACAAATCAGATAAAAGTTTCACAAATCATAAACATGGTTCTAAATATTCTGCTATTAGAGCAGAATAATCTAGTGCATGTGTTGCAGTTTTAAACTTGAGCCGATTAAAGATGCTGAAGGTAGTGAAAAAGTAGGTGGAATCGCCCTTTAGCCATTTCCCGAATCGGAAGCTGGAATTGGAAACCAACTTCAGCTTCGTCTAAAAACTTCAGTAAACAAACTCAACCGTCCAGAGAAATACAGCAGAACGAGTTGGACTTTAACCAACAAAAGCAGAACCGTTCAGATATATTCAGACTGCAAAAAGCTATAATACTTGATAACAACCAGAAAACGGCTTACCTCTGACACACTTTCATGAATAAAGGCTACAGACCTCGACGCTGCCGTCCGCGGTTCCTTTACCGCCTGTCTTTCTTTTTCTTGATGTTTTACTGGCGGTTGGCAAAAATTTAAACACGGCGTCTTGCGTTTCTTCTTTTGGGTTTCAATGGCGAATGGCAAACCATCTTAAGATGCGTTTACCGCCACCTACCGTGTGTGATAAACTCCCTCATGTCTGTGTTTTACATTAGCAGAACTGTTGGCTATTCAACCCGAATATGATCTAATACCACGAATATGACGTGGTAGTAGGTCTGAAAATGAATAATTATCCATGAAGGTGAACGTTCATAAAAAAGTTCACATTTTTACAAGAAAAATGGGTAATTTAGTCTTAAGTAGTAAGAAAATCATAATTTTCCAAGATAAAAGGCAAAAGGATTCAAGAGCATTAATTAATAAAAATTCAAAAAAAGTATCATATCAAAACTAAGTTATTCCCTGATATTATGAGGTCTGTAATTTGTAAGGAAAAAACTCCAGACATAGTGGCACAAACATCAACATGCCAGAAAATATCTTCTCTATATCCTGACAAGTTTTTTCTTTTAGTAATTTTAGATGTTATAATGCCAGAATATCTTTTTATTTTAAATGTTTGCCTTTAATTGTGGAAAATTAAGTTTCTTGTAATTTCTGACACAGAATGTCCAATTTTTTCTAGTAAATGTAAAGTTAATTTCTGAATTACAGAAATGTTTATTCCTCAGTGGATAATTTTTTTGTTTTATCTACAACAAAGAGTTTCCTCTATATTTTCCCTTATATTGAGGATTCCCCCCTCCCCCAATATCTTCCTCAATTTATTTACCTTAAGAACAAAAAAAATGTTTTTGTCATTAAAAATGTCATGAATGACATTTACTTCTTTAATTTAGTCCAAAACATTTGTCTTTTGTAATAAAGTTGAATTTTTCTTTTACCAGCGTTTAAACATTTAGCAAATTTTATACATTAAACAATCTGATTTGTGTTCTTTAAACTTTTGAGCTATTGTCTTCAGGTAAAAATAAGTCTTCAGAGAACTTTTATTTTTATTATTTAAATCACGTATCAAACTCACAGCTCGTGGGCCAAATTCAGCCCACCAGAAGTGTTTTTGTGGCCCTCCAGACTCAATTTTACAGTTGAGTTTTTAAATTTTATCAGATCAAATCAGCAGTGTTGTATAACAAATTGCATGAAGGTGAAAATACATTTCACATTTAATTTAAAGAGGAACTCATATATTACAGAGAAAGTTATTTATTCATATTTAAATGTTTTTATCAATACTTAGTGGCATTGTTGACCTTGATTGTGTCTGAAAAAGAAAAATGAGTTTTAAACTTCGGCTTTAATTCATTTCAATCAGTTTCAAATCCAGAAATGAGGCTTCAGCTGTAAAAACTCTGGTTTTATTTCAGAAACATGTTCAGTTTTAAGATGAAACAATAAAACATCAAATATTCCTCTTCTTATAACACAAATCATTAGTGACTATCATTCATCCTGATCTGCTCATATTTCCGACTCATTCCCATAAAAATGTCCAATTTGCTTCTTGAGTTTTTGAAATTGCTGAAAGTTTTGGGGTCAAAACGTTTTTTGTTTTTTTTTCTGTTTCATAAATCTGCCGTTCGCTAATAAAACCAGAACAGATGGAAACATGGAGGCTCTGCTGGGAGTTTAAAAAATGATCCCGAACAAGCACGACTCAAAACGGATCAACAGGAAGTTTCAACAGAGACGGTAGGGTTTCTCTCCTGGTGCATGCTGGGAGAATGGACTGGAATGCTAAGAACACCAGAACACAGCGAGGAAGAGGAGGAACACCAAATAAAAACAGGAAAGGATTAGCTTCAAGTTTCCAGAAAAATCCTGCGAGTTTCCAGAATGGATAAAACCAGATAAAGTAAGAAGCTTTTAGTGTCGTGTTTTCCAGCTTCCTGGAGCAAAACCAGCTGTTTAAGTGTTTCTAAAGGTTCCTTCGGTCGTCTTCATCCCGCCGGGTCGCTGAGGAACATGTAGTGTAACTGGCTGGAATTCATTTAAACTGAACAAAACACTGAACAACATGGAGGAAGCCCTGGGAGTCAGTTAGTGTCGTTGACAATCACAATGACCATGTGCTCCTCCTCCAGATTACCCACAGTCCTCTTGGCCGCCTGCAGGAACTGCTGCGAGAACTCCCCGGGCGGGAAGGCGTACAGCATGGCGCCTGGGGTGCCCTCCTTGGCGGCTGGCAGGCTCACCACGCCCGCCGCCTCCTTGTTTCGCAGGTAGGTGACCAGGTGGCGCAGCAGGCGCACCTGCAGGCCCGGCTCCAGCCCCGGCGCCTGGCGGTCCACGGGCCCCTGCAGGGCCAGCAGGATGGCGAAGCTGTCCGGGCGCCCCAGCTTGATGCGGCGCGCCACCTCGTCCAGCCGGGCCTGGTCCATGCGCAGCCGCTGGGCGATCTTCAGCTGGCTGGGCTGGCTCTGCAGCTTCAGGCTGTCCTTCATCACCGTGTGGAAGTAGGCTGCGCCGCCCTCCAGCAGGAACAGGTCTGTGGGGAAGCTGCTGTTCTTCAGGGCAAAGAAGCCGCGCCACAGCCTGGACAGGGCGCCCTGGGCGAACTCCGACAGCGTGCTGGGAGAGGCCGGGGCGTCCGCGGCAGGCGAGGCGGCGCCGGCCGCCTCGGCGCGGTGGTGGTGGTTGTTCAGGTGGTCGCTGGAGGACCGCTTGCTGTGGTGGCGGCTGGCAGGAAGCTCTTCTTCGTTGGTGACAGGGTGCCTTCCGGCGCCGCTGTCCGGGGAGTGGTCCCGCGGCTCCGTGGTGGAGTCAGGGGCACGGACCCGCGCTCGGTCTGGGCTGGCATCAGGAGACACCGCCCCTCCTGGAACGCGAACCCGCGACCTCCCCCGCTCCTTCTCCTCTGGCGGCCGGTCGGCGGAAAGGCTGCGGCTCCTCCTGCGGGTCCGCCTCTCCTCTCGCTCCTTCAGCCACCGCTCCCGGCTCTTGCTGCGGCTCCGCGCCGCCCGTCCGCTCCGCCCGAAGGCCTCCACCCCTCCGACCCGCCGCTCCAGGCTGCGTGTGGGGCTGCTGGGAAAGTCTCTCTCCAGCAGGCCCCTCTCCCGCTCCCTGAGGGAGAGGAGGCTATGGGGGGGTGGGGAGCGCTCCCGGCCGCCCCGCAGCTCCCTCTCCAGGCTGCGGTGGCGGCTGTACGCCTCCCCCAGGAGGTCGTAGTGGGCGGAGAGAGCGATGGGAGGCTGGTACCCGGGAGGGAAGGGCCGGGAGGGGCTCTCCTCCACCTTGGCGAAGTCCACCCGGAGACGATGCTCCGGGCCCCCCAGGGGGAAGCCCCTCATCTGGGTGCAGGCGGCCTGGGCGGCATCCAGGCTTTCATACTGAATGTAGGCAAAGTTGTCCCCTTTCACATAGTCGATGTTCCTGATGCTGCCGAAGCGGTCAAACTCTCGGGCCAGGGCGGTCAAAGAGTTCCCAGGGCCCAGGCCGCCCACCCACAGCCGGGTGGTGGGATTCGCCTTGCCATAGCCAATCTTTATGGGGTTCCCACCGATTAACCGGCCTTGCATGGCCACCTTGGCCCGGTGGGCCATGTCCAGGTTCTGGAACTTCACGAAGGCGTAAGCGCCGCCCTGACCGCGGGCCGGGCGTTTGATCACCACATCCTCGATGATGCCGTACTTGTCAAAGCCCCGCCGGAGCTCTGCCTCCGTCACGTTCCCGTCCAGGTTCCCGATGAAGAGGTTGCTGGTGGCCCTCTGGTCGTCCTCCGGCTTTAGGTCCTCCACCACGGGCATGGGGGGAAACCCAAAGGGTCGCCCCCTCTCATCCAGCATCCCATAGTAATCCAGCAGCCGGTCCCGGTCCCGGGTCAGCGCCAGGCTTTCCAGGGCGTACTGCCGGGCCCGCAGCTCCCGCAGGCTGTTTACGGCGGGCCCGGGCGGGGACAGGGAGCGCTGCCGGTAGGGGTACGGTGCATGCAGGGGGAGGTACCCGACGTCCGGCGGGGTCACACTCCGCCTCCTCACGTACATGGGCTCTATCTTCAGCTGGCGCTCCCCCAGAACCAGGCGGGACGACTTGGCGTGCCGGGCCTCCTTAGCGTCCTCCGGGTGGCGAAAATTCACGTAGGCGATCCGGCCCAGCTCAGGGGTGTGGGACAGCTTCACGCTCACGTCCCCGAACTTTTTGAATTCGTGGAACAGCGCGTCCTCCACGTCCTCGTCCGACACCTGCGAGCCCAGGTTGCTGATGAGCAGCGTCTTGTACTCCAGCGTCCCGGGCCTGGCGGCGGGCGGCTCGGCAGAGCGCAGCGGCGGGCGGCCGAGCAGGCTGAGTTCATGTCGGTGGTGGAGCTCCAGGGCGGCCGCCCGCTCCTCTCTGAGCCGCGGCTTCTCCCGCTCCCTGCTGCGGCTACGGCGGTGATAGCTCCGGCTCTCCGCCAGCAGCAGAGCCAGAGGCGGCGGGGGCAGCTCCTCTCTACGGGCGCTCTCCCGCTCCCTTTCCCGTATCCGCTTAGCGATAGCCCGGGACGGGCTACTCTCTCTCCCGGCCTGCCTCTTCATCTTTCACCGAAGGATGGAGCTCAAACTTTTCGGTGCCGTGCAGCGGGAATTCGGCTCTCGGAGCGGGTTCCTGGAGTGTTTGTGGAGAAGAGGCGGCTGGGGACGGCTTCAGGGCGAGACGCGCTTCCAGGGCGGCCGCTGATTTTTGGCACATTTACGGTAAAAACGGTTAGAAACGATGGGAAACATTTCAGCATCACAGGAGCTGCACCAGGGCCGCCATCTTGGACAATAGGAATGTGCGCGTTCCCTGAGGAGGACGGAGGGCGCGGTGACGCAAAAGCAGCTGACGTCATGACGTTACGATTTCATTTCAAAACATTTGTCCATTTTGAGTAGAAACTGACACGTTTCTGCTAAATTTGAATGAAAAAAAAACTTATTTGAATCTTTTAAGGAGCCTTTCTGAAGATCTTTTCGATTATTTTAGATTTTGGTTGCGTTTTACATTAAACTTTAACTGTCAAGAGCTAGAAAATAATTTCAGGCGCAGAATGAGTCAAGATTTAAAATTCTTATAGCAGTATATTTGAGATATAACTACATTTATCACATTCAACATCAAAATACTTTTCATTTTAACGAGAAAGATTCTAACAGTAAAACAGCAACGCCTCGTAGGATGTTTGTTGTTATATGAGATATTTGTCAGAGGACCATATTTTTTTATGTCTTGTTACGAGAAACCTTCTAATTTTTCCCCCCCAACACTGGCTTCTGTTTTTCACAGATTTTCAAAACGTATTTTTTGCTTGTTGAAGTACAGAAGTCTTTTACTGTCAGCCAATAAATTCAGGAGCAGTACAATTAGCTGTCAATCTTATTACCAGATTTAAATCTCGTTGAGATTTATTAAAAACCAAAATATAGAGATCCTAACAAAATGCCTCGCAAGGATGTTGGTGCCATTTAGAAGTGGCGTTTTTTTAAATGATTTTTAAAACATCCTAATTGGTCAGATGAATATTTTAATATTTTTGTTTCAATATGAAATAAACTTTTAACAAGATAACAAGATCTGTATTTATTTCCCCAAATCTGGTTTCCATACTTTCTCAAAAATGTTCAGAATGCATATTTTATGCTTGTTCAAGTATGGAAGACTAAGGAAATAAGAGGCTATTGCTTTGAATATATTATTCCTAGAAACTGCCAGGATTGATATAATGTGTCATATCTTCTTGTTTTAACAAGATATAAAGGAAATTTATTTTTTAAAAAGACAGTGAAAAGAGAGAGTGAGAAAGTGTTTATATTTTGTCACAGCAAGAAGCTCAAATTTTAAAGAAATTCTGCTTTTGTATTTATTTTGTATCTCTGACTTCTTTACTTTTGTCCAGTTTTCAGTATGTTTTCCTTGTTAAAGAATGCCAGGTGCTAGAAAATAATTCAAAAAATTAAAAGTAGAAATTTAGAAAATTTCAGAGCATATAACAAAACATTGTGAAACAGTTTTTGCTGGACTGGCTGATTCCAATGAACAGTTAGATGTTTGCAGAAAAATGAGACAAATCAGCACCTGGAGCTTTGGAAAGGAAATGCTACAAGGAACAATGAACTACAGGAAAGGATTTTAATTGATACGATCTGAAATGAAAATTAAAATCTTAACATTTATGCTGTTTTCTGACTTAATGTCCACTTTTTATATACACTGCTCAAAAAAATTAAGGAAACACTCAAATAACACATCCTAGATCTGAATGAATGAAATATTCTCATTGAATACTTTGTTCTGTACAAAGTCGAATGTGCTGACAACAAAATCACACAAAAATCATCAATGGAAATCAAATTTATTAACCAATGGAGGCCTGGATTTGGAGCCACACACAAAATTAAAGTGAAATGTTGCCTTTATTTTTTTGAGCAGTATATTTACTGGAGCTTAACTCAAATGTTTCCAGAATGTCAAATTCTTAAACTGAAACAAATTCTCCCAAAGCTGATTTTAATTCTTAAATGTATATAAAAAATAAGCAGCAGAAAAGATGCCATAGTTGCTCTTCAGAACCACAGAACCAGGTTTAAACCTCAGCAATCAGAGGTTCTGAAGGAGGGAAGCCAGAGAGCAGAACCAGATCATTTTATTCACATGAAGTCAAAACAAAAAAGTTTGAAAAAACCTTTAATAAATACAGAAAATCACCTAAATAAGAATTGGACTGGGATTTAACGGAACCAGGAATACAAACCATAAATGGGCCACTTTATGTTCCGTCTACTTCCTGTCTGTATGTTAGTCTGAACGCCCTTTCAAAATAAAATATTTTGGGCTGTACGGCTGCTGGCAGTGATGGTGGTTTTAATCCAGGAGGAAACTCGTAAATAACGAAGCGGAGGAGACAGGAAGTGACTCAATGTGTTTAATGGTCTGACTGGTTCAATTGGAACAGAACCAGCCTAAGTAAGAAACAGTGGAGTGGGTCCGAATCGTCCTATAAATCAGAACCAGGTTTTAATTCAGATGTGCAGTTCTGTAAACAGTCAGCAAGGGGCGCTGCTCAGAAACATGTTGGGGCTGAACGGACTCCAGGATGATGACGGTGAGCCGCTGCTGGTCCGTTTTTCCTCCGCTGGTTGGGGATTCTGGGATGCAGACGAACTTGGGCTCTTGTTGTGAAAGGATCGGAGGAGCAGGAACTTCAGTTTAAAGTACAGTAGAAACTCTGAGCCTGCAGAGCAGACCGAGACGTGCTCTTCCTTCTCCTGGCAGGACTTCCTGTCTGTCCAGAGTCAGTGTCCCCGCCGCTACAGGTCTGTCCGTGCCTTGGCGGCTGCAGGCGCGTACTTAGGCATGAGCTCGGTTATTTTGCGGATGAAGTCGGACTTTTCGGCGCAGCCTTTGCACGACTCGCCCCACTCATCCAGAATCTTCTTCAGGTCCTTGACTTTCAGCTTCTTCAGATCCACTGTGGTCAGGTCCAGCTGCTTGTCTGCAGGAATACAAACAGACATGAGGAACAACAGAACCGCCTGGACAGAACCGACCCGCCTGGACAGAACCGACCCGCCTGGACAGAACCCAGCTTACCGTATCTCAGCTCGCAGATCTGACTGTCCTTCTTCTTGAGCTTCTCACAGATCTTGTCCACCGGGACGTGGTAGCTGAGCGGTTTGGACACTTCGTTTATCATCTTGGTGGCGGCGTCGCTCGTCGCACCGATGTAGTAACACTGGACACACGGATGAGATGGGAGAGATCAGATCAGAACATGTTCCAACATCTAAACCACGGGTGTCAAACTGAAGGCCCAGGGGCCAAATCCGGCCCGATAAAGCATCGTATGTGGCCCTCTAGCGAAGGAGGTCCAAAACTTTTAACCTCTGACCCCGTTAGCAAACCCACAGACAATGTTACAAAATACATACACAACTTTTAGATTTTTTTTTATTTACTATTCAATAATCATTACATTAATTTAGCAAAAAATACTGACTCATTTAAATGGCTGTGTGTTCTGTGGTAGAAAATTTTTATCAGATATTATGACTTTACTAGCAGACAATACCACCTTGCCACAATACTCTCTTTTTATAAGAAAATGTAATTTTTTTTGTATTCCCACATTTCTCATATTTTGCTTCTTTAGTCTGAATATTAGAAGTAACATTTAACTTATTTTAACTTATTTTATTTTGAAAAATGATTGAAAAACAGGAAAAAAAAACTCATTTAAGATTAAAAAGCTGGGGATTAATATTTTTTATTCATGTTTTTTCTCATCTCTCCAACATTGTGAGGCTCCCACAGCGCCCCCTGTTGGGCACCTTTGTGAAAAGCACTGATCTCGATTAAGCCAATCTGAAACTATCAACTAATTTCATAAATTTAAGTGAGCTCAATAATTTCTATTCTAATATTTTTTGAAGGAAAATTTTGTTTACAAAGACTTTGTGATCCATTTTATTTATGGTTTGGGTTTGTGTGTTTATTTCCACTTTGTCTATTATTTTTGGTTGTCATGTTTTATTTTGGATATTTAAAATGTCTTTTGTACCAGTGTGACGTGACCAGTACAAAATCAAAGTTTATTGATCTTTGAGGGTGAACTTGTGCTATGCCATTATCAAGATATTAAATAAAAGCTGACAAAACAACAATGATATCATTTGTCGCAATAATTCCTGGGACAATTTATTGTCCAGTGTTATTTGTTATTGTGAGAGGTCTAGTCTAGATTCCAGAGAGACGCAATAGAGCCTTCAAGATAAAAGTTCTGTGATTAAATATTAATTTATCAATCAAATCAAATTACTATCAGAACCTCCAGTTTTTTTTTTTGTTGCAATTCCACTATCGTGAAAATTTATGAAAAAAAAAAAATCCCTGCAATGTTTTGTGCCAATTCATAACTATGACTTTAGTGCAGATTTTCAACAAAAATATTGATCAAAAGCATTGGTTTTAAGTGACGCTAACTTCCACCTGAAGGTGACAGTATTTCTTTTTACTTCGCTGCTGACTTCTGACATCAATTAAGGCCGATATGGTGAGTAAGAAAAACATACAGAAGGGCAAATACTGCAAAGTTCCTAGCAAATATTTATAATTAGCAGTACAAAATCAGTGTATGTAATTGCAAAAAATAAAAAATAAAAATAATCGCTAAATCACTGATCAGTGTGAAAAGATGTTCAATAGTTAATTTTAAGAAGAACTTATCGACTGCAGAGACAGCGAGTGATTATTATATTTATAGTGATGCACAATATATCAGAACTAACATCAGTACCGGCCAATATTAGTCTTTTTTTTAACATATCTGTCTTGGGCCAATAGCAGCCAAAATTTGTTTTCATCTTGTTGACTTTTGTTTCTGTCAAAATATTATATACAGCTAAATATCAGTTATTGGCCCAAATTTTCTTACTGGTGTATCACTACATATTTTAACTGTTAATAATGGGTTTCATCAATACATTCAGGCACAACCAGCCCTGTAAGAATTTTTATGATGTTGATGTGGCCCAAAATGAAAATGAGTTTGACACTCTGATCTAAAAACAAACCCTGAAGACAGACATCTAACATCTAACTCCCAGATCAGCGATTTACTCACAAATCTGTTCTCTTTTCCTTTGGTGTCACTGCAGCTCTTCAGCAGCTCCTTCTCAACATCGGCGCTGTTGGCGTTGGAGTCCTTCAACGACTCGTAAAACTTCCCCAGGAAGGAGACGCACACTGGAACAGACGGAAGATGAACACGGTCAAAGCTTAATAAGAGAAGATTGACGAGTCCAGAACCTCAAGTCTGAGATTAGCATTATCCCTGGAAAACTACAAAGATTAGTCAGTAAAAGCAGGAATATTGGACTAAAACAACCTGGGTTTTATTAATATAATAACAGTTATGATTTGAAATTTCTTTAATGTTTTCAGGAAAACAGCATTAAGGTTGTCTCAGCCTGGAAAAAGATCCAAACCCTGAAAGTTTTGAGCCATTTGAATAAAATCTGCCTGCAGATGAATTCACTGCATAACCAACTGATTTCACTCAGATATTTCCCTCTGATTGGGGAAATTTTCTCACAAGTGCAAACAAACTGACCAACATGAAGGTTTTCAGAAAATTTTTGGGTCATATTCTAAAAGTTAATCACTTTAGTCACATCTTCCTCTGAACTTTGATCCATAGATTATGGTTTTAAATCAGCTGAATACATATTAATGCAACAAGAGCTAGTAAGCTGGTTTAGTTCTTAATAATAATAAAAAGGATCATTTTTAGGTGTGTTTTCAGACTTTGGGTCGACTCGGGACGTTTCCCCTGATTATTTTACTTCTGATCATCTTTGCATCACACAGAAATGTTTTTAAAAAGCTACAATCAACTAACTAACAATTTATAACCAGGAACACTAACATGAAGTTAAACCTCCTGATTTCAGCTGAAATCAGGCAGTTCTTGTTCCAGAGACGGATTCGCTTCATTCCTGGTCCATCAGGTTCTGGATTTGTCCAGAACATTTCAGATATCCTGGATCGGATTCTGCTGTAAGAGAGTTCTGCAGAACTGTTGGACCCAGAGCCTTGCAGCAAACCTTTGTCCAAAAGCATCTACGCTTCTCATCCTGGTACCGTGGCCTTCAAATGACCATCCACCTAATGGTGCATTGGTCCAGTTCTGGTTCTGCGATCTTTAATGGGTCAGCAGGAGGGATCAGCAGCTCCATTTCTGTTCTAAAACAAGTAGATCCAGTTCCAACATCCACTCCCTGAACGCAATGTTCACATCTAAGCCTCAGAAACATGGCTGATCAGTTGGTGCTGCATTCACTGACTAATTTGTAAATTATTGGCCCTAGTTTCAGACCTATTACCAGCCTTCCGTTAAAGTAGGGGAAGATCTTAACTGTTAAACTATTTTTAATTTATTTGCTTAATTATTTTTACTTTTCGTCCTCTATCCCATTTATAATTTTATATGAAAACCATAAAACTTCATGCCTGCGATGAAAACGTTGAGAAATGTGGTTGGGAGAATTAAGATTTCCTTCCCGGTGTCATCGGGTGGCTTTAACGGTGCATTTCGGCACCAAACTTCGTTCAGATAACATCACATTTAGGAAGGTGTTGATTTCTCCTCTTTGATCAATAAAAACGTGAACACACAAATCCAGGATTTAGTCAAACATCTCAAAAACCAACAAATCGGGTAAAGTTTGAATCATTTTATCTGCTGCTGGAAAGTTTCTGGAGCTGAAAGCTGGTTTAGCCACTGCTAAGAGCAGCTAGCGCCTCGTCCTACCTTCACATTCTCCTTCCTTCAGGCCTTCAACAGGTCCCGGTAAGAGGGCGAGGGCCAGAGCCACTGACAACCCGCTCAAACTCAACATTTTTCGGCTTCAATAAAGTCAGAAGGACGTCCGTGGGACCGCTGAGGGACACCGACAATCTGAACTCATGAGTCTCCGCCGCTTCGGAGCTGACGGACGCCGGTAAAGCTGGTAGAGTATCGGCTCTCGTACACGCGCCTCCTGATTGGTCAGAGCATCCACAGACCTACACGCACTTTGCTCTGATTGGATCGCGGCACCACCTTCCGGGGACAATGTCCAGTTGTCGCGGTTTGATTGGTCCACAGCGACACTGCGTTATTAAAATGACAGGATTTCCCTAGAGAAGGGAAAAATACACAAGACCCCCAGAAAACATTTCAAATAATTATAAAAAGTTTAAACCCACTTTGAGAATAAAAAGGAGACACATTATTTAAGATAAACACGGATTAAATTCGCTGAGATAAAACCTGTTATATTAAAGCAACAGAAAGGAGCAACAAGCTCCTCTACTCTTCTACCTTCTGTGGTCTTGTTTATTCTTGATAAATATATTAAAATATTTGTAGAATTTTATTACATACACTGAGTCGTGAATCATTTTAAGTAGAAAGGCAACAAGACCAAACTGGAAAATTGTGCAGACATTTAAATTTTACAGTTATGGTTGAAAATAACTGTAATCAACAGTTCTGATGTTTTAATGATTTCAAAACATATTTTAGATGCTAAATGATGTAAAAACAATCAAATTATGGAGTGTTACACTTATACTTCAAATCGTTTAATCTGCACTCAGGACTTCCTGGTCTTTAGTGTTGGATAAAAATGAAGAAATAATTCCATAATTTCCAAGCTGAGGCTGTGAAAGAGTCCTATGATCCGGACTACTCTCTGCTGTTTCAGAGGAACATTTGAACTCTGACCTTCAGGTGTAAGAATCTTAGTGAACCTGCAGGAAGAGATGGTGCTGTGTGAGAGATTTAACTCTAAAGTCTCAGGTAATCCTGAAATCAACAGATTATTTTCTGAAGAAAAACAACAACATTCCCAGTAGATCATTCAGCTTCTTTATTCATCCAGGAACCACAGACAGAATCCCAGCTGGGATTAAAACTCCAGCGAGTTTTGGCAACTTCATTTGTAAACTTGAAATCTGGAAAACAGAGTGACTGACAGAAGACACAGAAACCAGATGAAACCTACAGAGACGCTCGGCTGCGGCACGATCCAGTCAGTCTGAAGGGATTATAATCCAGATTAAAACAGCTTTAATCTAACCCAAACCTCTCCTGTCTGACGACTGAAGGTCTAGGTGTACATCATCTCCGCCATGTGCGACATCTTCTTGGGGATGTAGAGGTAGTACTCCATGTAGCCAGAGAGGTCCTCTATCGTGATGTCATCGACGTAGGCACGCGCCTGCTCCGAGCAGGACCGGGGAGAGCCGGACGCCAACGGCGACGCGGCGCAGGCGGAGCCGCCAGACGCCAGTGGTGACGCAGCGGAGGGGGCGGAGCTGCTGCTCAGAGTTCTGCCCTCGACCTGCTGGACGCTGCGCAACCCCGTGAAGGAGTAAACCTCCACGTTGTTCCAGCCGGGTCCTTGCTGCCTGCAGCCACAGCCGGATCCAGCTTCGTGCTCGCCGCCGTCCTGTGAGCCGGTGGCAGCATCACAGGAGCAGCCGCAGGGGGGCTGCGTTCCCTCTGCGCAGTGCAGCTCGGATAGAGCCCGGAAATCTGCGGCATCGGACCTCAGAGGCGCCGAGGCTCCATCAGAGGAAACCTTCTCCTCTCCGGAGTGCCCGCCTTCCCACCGTGGGGGCGCTGCTGCCGTGGCAACCTCTGGCGATGGGCCCACCCCCCCCACCCGGGTCTCGTAACTCGGGCTGACTCCAAAAAGAACAGGGGAGCCGCAGCCCGGCACGGCGGAGGAACGCCGCTCTGCCTGGACCGGAACGTCGTCGGCTGCCGGGTCGGACAGAGCCAGCCGCTGCTGCTTCAGGCCACCACCAGGGGGCGCCAGAGCCGAAGCGGCGCTGCTGCAGTAGGTGAACCTGGGTGGGTGTAGGATGGGCGACTTTGACCGTCGACGGCGCTGGCTCCGCGATGACGTTCCTCTGGAGGTTTTCCTCGTGCAGCTGAAGGAGAAAAGACGGGAAGGATGGGAATATCTGCCGATTCTGGTTCTGATCAGATGAATTAGTTCAGATGATAGAGGAGCTCATTAGATTATCTGTCTCATATTAAACTGTCACAACATGGAGATAATTTTAAAATACGTAGAAAACATATTTTTATAAAAATTACAAAATGCAGCTTCGTAGAAGCTCTGAGCTGAGATGGTGAGAAACTTCCTGACCTTCTCTGATCCAGCAGAACCCAGACTGACTTTATGCTAAGACAGCCTGCCGTATCGCTGCAGGTCCAGGCCGGGTCCACCTACCAGTGCCAGGTGTCCTTGGAGTTGCTGAGTTTGGTCTTCGCTCCGCTGGCGCTGTCCAGACCGACCCGGGCCAGCGCTCTGGGCGTCAACGCATCGGAAACACTCTCAGCTCCGGACAAACTGGACAAACAGAAGAGAAATCGTCTTGATCCGAAATGTTTCCACAGACTGCAGAGAGGAACATTAAAGCAAAAACTGGTTTTCACATCCGGTTCTGATCCAGATTGGATGAGGGATTCATCACCAGGAACCAATCAGGAGTCTCCGCTACTTTTCCTGATCCGTTTAGGAAAAGCCGAGGCGAAAAACCTGAAGTAACAACATCACACTCCAGGGTCAAAGGTCGCCTACCTCTCAGCATCGACCCTGAGCTTCTTGAAGGCCGTCTGCAGCGTCTCCTCCTCGCAGTCTTTCCCTCCTGCCTCCATGGTGGGAGGAGGCTGCTCCGACCAGCCCCCCAGCTGCAACACAAACGCCTCGTCAAAACTATTCACACGTTCGTTTTCTACTGAGACTGAATCCTCGACCCGCTCGGCTTTAATCCCACGACGACTAAACACTTCCACTTTCTCAACAGTGACCCTTGAACCCATCAGTTATGATTCTCCACCACATGGCGGCGCTGTTTACCTGATTATTACAGTCCAGTCTTCTTTTTCTCTCACTGGGAGCAACGTTACTATGGCTGTTACTATGGCAACGGACTATTAACAAAATATCTCTACCATTTTCTAAAATTTTAAAGATGTGGCATTATTTCACCACTTTACCCTATCTGAGTTTTAAGCTGTACAATAAAACATTTTAAAAGCTGTCTTTAGTTTAAAATATTTCAAGTTTTTCAGATTTAAAATCTGAATAAAAATGCCCTGAAATCTTCTTTTATCTCTTTTTTTTACAAATAGAATACATTTCCAAAATTCTAGTTTATGTTTAAAGTAAATTGTGTAATATTTCGATCCTGATCTGAATGATCTAGATCACTGTCAGAAACATTTTCCTCTCAGTTCTGCTGAATAAACCCGTTTAGGGCCACTAAGGTGATCCAGCCTTTAAAAGAAAAGACAAGTTATCATTTCTGATGAATATCTACTCAAAGAAATTTGCGTTATTGTAAAAGAAACAATTTTTTTATGTTTCTAGATTTTACAGAAGAGGACGGATTACATTTGTTACATGGGATGTTGATCTAAATCTGCATTTCTGCCACTGTTAGTGTCATTCTCTCATAAAATTTTATGTAATTAATCCATGAAAGGCTAAAAAAAATAACTATTAAAGACAGATATTCATTATTGAGAAAAATTTCTTATTGGGATAAGAATTTTGATTTATCAGAACAATAAATACTAACTTGAAAATGTTTCAAAACCTCCCAAACTGCCAGAATAGTGATATACACTATTCTCTCTACTTCTGGTCTCATTAAAATATCAATAAATATGAGAATATTAGTAAATGCAGTTACTCTGGGTAGATTAGTGAAAATCATCACGCTCCATGTCACTGGTGTCCTAAAGATGCCTGTTTGAAAATGAGTTTGTCTTTATTGTAAGTTTTGTTATTTTCAATAAATATTAACAAATATTGTGATAAGATTATAAGACAATGTAATCCACCTCTTATCTATAATTAAAAACATTATTTGGTTCTTTAAAATATTTGCTGAAGCTGACGGTGCCACTGTGGAAGAAACATCCCTGGTCTTTTAAACTGAGTTTTCTGTGCTTTCATACTTGAAGTAAAAGTTTCTCCAAACAATAACTAGGTTTTAAAGAATCTATTAAAAATGCAGAATAATTCAGTCCCGGATCGACTAGTATAGGGAGTTAGATCTGATCAAATGTTGTCTAAATCTGTGAAATGTGCTTTTAGTTTGGCTAACTTTAGCGCCCCTGTTAGCATGCTAATGAAGCAGCTAACTGACTGGACGGAACCTTTGCGGTTCCGAACAGCTTTAAACTCTGAATTGATAGACGGGTAGAATCCCAGAACTCACGGCTCAGGTTGTCCGGGCCACGCAAAGCACAAGTCCAGAAGAGTCCAGAAGATTCTGGCTGGTTCCAAAGAGGCTAAAGGGCAGAAGCTAATGCTAGCTCTGTCTCCGCCAAAACACGATCCAAAAAAACAAAACAACAACAACAAAAAAAAAAAAAACACGGCAGACTCAAAACCCGGAGCAGGTTCTACAGAACCGCTAATGGACCGACACCAGCGCTAAATATCTGCAGCAGCCAAATATTCGGGGTTTTCGAACCGGATCGGGACTTTTCTCCGTGAGAAGCGTCTTGTTTACAGTCGAACCGTCTGCAGTGACTCTGCAACAACTGACGTCACTAGCCCAGAAACCAACCCGACGAGCAGTATGGAAGTCCCGTAGTGCCGTTAAAATGTGTTTGGATTTGAAGCCTTATTTATTAATTAGTATTAAAAAAAATATTCATCCTGTATGTTTACCCTGTACTGTTATTATCATATTATTTGTTTTATTATCTTACATTTATACACCTGGAAAAAAAAACTAGTATGGAGCTCTACAGGTGCCTATTTTATGTTTAAAATATATTTTGTTTTATCAATTTAATAAAAATTGAACCTATTGTAACATTTATGAATAATGTACAGTGTGGGAACACACAACTTTTTTTTTCTTTCTGATTTGACTTCACATACAGAATATACTGATTATTCTATTTTTAATCTGTACTTCACTTAAACCTAAGCAATGGCTGCAGCTAACAGTTATTTTAGTTATTGATAATTCTATTGAGTATTCATAAGAATAAGTCATAAATCATTTGATTTATTATTTTTTAAAGCTAAATCTTCTTCTTATTATTGTTAAAAAACAACTGTCAGATGTTCAGAAAGCTTAAAAAAAGATTATTTCAAGTAATTATAGAAATTTTGATCAATCAATTGAACCACAAATATAATTTTTAAAAAGATGTTAATACATCTGTGTGTGAGATCAGGACTTTTGGAAGTGGAATTTGGTCTTTGTACATTTGAGAAAACATTCACATAATAATTAATCCAAATAATTCAAAATAAAGACTTTTAAACATTAGAATTTTTCATGCAAGTGTGTTATCTTCAATTACTCTTTGAAGAATATAAATTAATGAGTTTCAAGAACATTTAATTTCCCTTTTGGATTATCTTTTAATTGAATTGAATTGACTTTTAAACATTATGTGTATTCTAGTAAAAAACAAACAAAAAACAGCAGCTGTCCAGAATCTTTGTATTACAATAAATAACAGCATTTTAAAAAATTATTTACAGTAGTAATTTTGCTCTCCGGAGAAGTACATAGAGGTTTTTTTGGGGGGGGTTTTTCTGCGCACCACTGAAAATGGCCGCCAGGAGGCAGCACCTGCTCAGGTTTTTCCTACCCGAGCTGCTTTGTTTGCTCTGCAGGGTTACAGAGTTAACTTCTTTTTTTTTTTTTTTTTTTTGAAAATGGCCCAGAATGCTTCGGCAGGGTGTGCCTGTTTTCCCTCAGGGATCAGAAACAGAATCAGCAAACAGTGAAAGAACTTACAGTAAGTCGCCAAACCTGTTCCATCCTCAAAGAACCGTGAAGAAGAAGAGGAAGAAGTAAACAAAAGGTGGAGAGCTGTTCTCATGTTTATCTAACAGAGATTTCTCAATCTCTGTCACCGTCTCAGGGGGACTGATTATGTCCCAGAGGAAAAACCTTCCAGGCAGGAACTCATGTCTCCATTCCCAAAGTTACTCTTTTTATCCAAAAAAGAACCAAATGAAAATGTTCAGTTCTGACAAAACAAAAATGAATTCAGCTGCTGTCCAATTAGTTCAAGTCTTTATCAAATGGAAATGGCATCTCCATCTTACGGTGAAAAAATGGGTAAGTGGTCAATAGGTGGCGCTGTTCTGTGTAAAACAAAGCCCTGAACCCGAAGGAGGCCTGGAAGTTTTCTTTGGTCTCTGATCAAAGCTTCTGGTTTTGTTTTAAATCTGCTGCTTCTTCTGGCTGCAGTCTCTAGGGGGCGCTCCAGAGGATCGACTGCCACCATCTCAACCACAGCATCTCTGCAAATCCTCAGTCATTCATGAACCTCCTCTTCCCTCTGTCCTGCTATCTCCATATTAAAACCCTGCTCTCTCATTGTGTCTGCCTCACTGTGGTGTCTTCCGGGAAATGTAGTCCCATGGGGACTTTGGTCTCCCCTGATTGGTCGATCTTAGAACCCTTCCACACACCTCACCACTGTCTCACTGCCACAGCCCTGTTAGCACAGCTAGCTACCAACTCTACTCTGTTTATTAAAGTGAGACTCACTTTATAATCAACCTTTTTTTGCCTGACAAACTGTCTAAGTCTGTTATTTAGGTTTCAGTCTTTTTGACATATATTTATTTATTTGTTATATTCTGAAAAAAAAAGTCACCAGAAGGTCTGAAAAGTCAATAAATATAGCAGCAAAGTTGCTAAGATGGCAACCATTCTTTCCCTCGACTTGACCACGCCCCCAAAGCATTTGCTCCGCCCACTTTTGTTAAATTTTTTCAAAATTTGTCAGGGGGCGTGGCTAACCTCTCTTTAAAATCACAAAAAAAAAAAAAAAAAAAAAAAAAAAAAAACTCAACACTTCCACCTGCTGGCTAAATGAGCCAGCTTGTTTATGTTTTCAGAATCAGATCGAAGTATTGATTATGATTCTTTTTTATTTTGGAATTTGCTGAGAAAATATCCAGATGGCCAGATGGAAAAATAAGGGAAATACAAGTTTAACATCAGAGGAATTCCTTCTTTATGATGATGGGAATCCCAGTTATTGTGTTTTTACAGCTGCTGTATCATCATAACTGTGGTTTTCCATGTTTGGCTCATAACTCTGGTAAAAAGGATCCACCAATAAATAATCCAGAAGTGGAAACCTTTCAGTTTCCTTTAATAAAACAAAAATGATTTTCATGTTTTAGTCCAGAGTTTTATTCACTTAAAACAAAGGGTGGTCATGTGTTAAATAAAACAATAAGTAATAAATCAATCAATGCATGATACATTAAAACTAGATGAATAATTACAATCTTTGTGATTTATTGTTTTTCTGTTTTTTTCTCTTTCTACCAAAAACTAGATGATAAAAGTCTTCGGCCTGCTTCCAACCTTTTTTTTGAAGGACTCTCACAGCATCACACAGTTCATAAAACTGTTGTGTTGAATCAATAGCTCTTCGATCTGTAAAATCACTGGTTTCTCCAAAATGGCGCATACATAGTCGCTCCAATAAGACGCCAACGACTCCTCTGATTGGCTGATAGATGCTGAATTATCAATATATCTCATCTGTTTACATCCATGATTTTTAATGACTTATTATGTGAACAAGCATATTCATTTTTGGGATTTTAATTTCATTTCTTATTTAATGGAAACACTGCAATTGCAAAAATTTGTTGTTTCAAGATTTGAGCATAATTGTAATGGAGACGCAGCTATTAGAGGAATACAGTGAAAATTAGTTTCAGTGTTGCTGATTAATCAGGCCTGACACAGTAACACAGTTTGATGGATGATAAATTGTCCCAGAAGTTTTTGAGATAAACAATAATATTGTTGTTTTGAGAAGAGTAACATAAAGGTAATGACACCATAATGCAAGAACTCATTCTCAAAGATCAATAAACTTTAAATTCTAATGAAAATTTAACGCAGGAACTGGAAGACATCTTAAATATCTAAAATAAATAAACAACAGAAACAACAAATCAAATTAATTACGAAATCTCTATAAACAAAACTATCATTCAAAAAAAGAGCTGGTTGAGACCAAAATATCAGACTGACATCTTCTATGATCCAGTTTTTGAAAGAGAGAAAACATAAATCAAGCAAATGGAAATTATCGAATTCATTTTAATTTATTGGTTTTTGACAGGCTTAGATTAAACCTCAAAAGCCTTGAAAACCGTGAAGAACCATTAGGCCAGTTTATCAACCAACAGGTGATTTACTGAAACTATTCTGTGGATCTGAAAGCGAAATGTGCAGAGCAGCATCTTACAGTCGGTTAGTTTCCTGTCAGCAGCTGCAGGAAATCACCTGCAGATGATCTGACGGCTGCTGCTGCAGCAGGTTTCCTCCTGCTGCTGTTTGTCACAGAGAAGCAGCAGAAGAAGAAGAGGGGAACTCCGCCCCTGAAGCCCACCGAGGAGCAAACATCCTGACTGATGAGAAAACGTCAGGACTTTCTCTGCCTCGGACTTTCATGTTGCTGCAGCTCTCAGAAAACAAAGCCAGGCGTGAAGCTGGTGGGAATTTTGGTGGCGCTCAGAAAAGCCTCAGAGAAACCAGACAGATGCTGCTGTGGTTCCCCAGAAACATCCGGCCTCTTCATGTGGGCCTCATTTATCATAATGAGTGGACGGGGAAGTACTGGGAGCTAGAGTTAAAATTCCTCGAAGTGAAAAGTGTGGACTGAAGCGCGGTACTTTCACACAGCGAAGGCCGTGAGTTTTGATCTGACTTGGCTGTTGTGGTTCATGTCATGGCAGCAACAGACTCAGGTCTGTCTGGATGCTGTAGGTGAACCATGACCCATTAATCTCTTTCAACCTTCTTCTACTTTTTCCTAGTTTCGGTTTCTGTTTTAAATTGTTTGAGATCCAAAATATTTTTCTTTCTTTAATCAACTTCTCAGTGTGAGGAACAGAAATGAAGTTCAGCTGTTTGACTCCAGGTCATGTTGCTTGTGCATCAGATTTATGGGCGTACTAGAAACGTGTAACTTTTCTGCTACACAAAAGACTCAAATGCTTTGCAGAAAAAAATAACTTTCCCTTCACACAAGAACTAGAAATGAGCATGAAGTTTGTGTTTGTCATCTTTAATGTTACTATATCAATTTGATTAATTTATCACAGTATTTTTGTTGTCGGTTTTTGGTTAAATAAACTGACGAATTGAACAAACTGCTTTCACAACCAGCTTTGACATGCATATGTCATCAAAGTCTTCATGAAATATGAAAAACAAAATGGTTGTAAATGTTTGTCTCTTTAAATGGAGCCAACCAACCGCAGGTGTTTCACAGCTTCCAGGTGAGTTATGACCTGGTCAACCTGTCCGACCCACAGACATGGGTCTGATTCAGCTTGAAACCAGAACTTTGAACACATCGTAATATATTTGCTGAAAGGCCCTCTGCAGGTGATGTTTGTATTTCTGTTAGACTCAGCGTGACCTATCGACCTCTGCCTGATCAAACTTCTCTGGAATGGAACAACATGGACCTGAAAGTTCTGGCTTTTACTCTGAAATATTTACTCGAGTTCACAATGTCCTTGACAAACAAGGGGACAATGAAAACACAGTTTCCCTCCAATCATCGACCGCATGAATCCAGCATGAATATGAAACATTGAAGGAATGAGAAACCGAGTCAACATGAGCAAATAAACACGGAGCAGTTTATAAGTAAAAAATTAGGTCAAAATTAGGTCAACAAGTGAAAGTTTAGAAGATTTCTAAATCATGCTTTGCAACATGGGACGTCGTTTGTAAAGATACGCAGAGAAAAAAAACAATCATTTATTTAGTTAAAAGAGATTAAATCCAAATTAAATATTTGATTATCAAAATTAATATTTAGTTCACAAGCTAGACATTTATTTTGACTATATTGCTTGCTAACCAAATATTTAACTTCTTAAACTTAATATTCAGTTTGTAAACTAAGTATTTTGCTCCAAACTACATATTTAGTTTGCTAGCTGAATACTTTTAGCTTGCTAACTAGATATTTAGCTCACTAAATGAAAGCAAACTAAATGTTAAATGCAAGCTAAATATCTAGTCAGCTGGCTAACTAGATATTTAGCTCCAAGCTAAACATTTAGCTTCCTTACTAAGAGCTCCTAACTAAACATTTAGTTTTTAAATTAAATATTCAGTTTAGAACTGTGACATTCTAAATGAATGAGTTTTTGACTGCAGAACTTTAAATAGACCATCAGTCAGCGTGTTCTGGTTCTGATCCTGTTGGAAAAGTCCAGAAACCTCCAGAGGAAAAGACCCGGAGCGAATCCCAATGAATCCGTTTAGATCCATCCTGGTGAGGATTTCAAATGGACGAATGTTGAACCTCCATCTTCCAGCTTTGGCCTGACCAGACACAGCAAGATGTCTTCAGCTCTCTTTACCTCAGAATAAATCACAAATAAAAACACTTGCAGTATGGATTAAATTATCTGCATGTCTGTAAATTCAGGGTAAATATTGGGAATACTTCCCTGAATTCCCAACATTCCTGCTCTCATTTCTAATTGGCTGAATTGTTTCCAGACTGTCCTCCCTGTTTCTTTGTTTGCAGGAATGCAGCTTGTTTTAATGTGACGGATGAAAACAGGAGTCGGGTTCTGTTACCAGACCCGACTTAACAAGACACAAAGAGACCAAGCAGAGACACAAGCGACAGAAAACGCATGCCAACTCCTGGACCATCGCGTTGACATGAGAGCTCTGCAGGCAGCCAATCAGAGAGCTGTTTACTTAGCTCACGTAATTAGCTCGTTGTTTTGACATGTGGTCGGATTGTGTGGAGGTTTGAGGTTAAAGGAGCAGAACTGAAGCCAACGAGTCGGCCATATTAACCCCAGAAAAATGTGTTGTTGTAGCAGAGCCTAAGTGCCAACATGTGAGTGACGGAGGAGAAATGAAGACCAGCTGAGCGAGGAGAGTCAGAGTTAGCTTCAGCAGCGAAGCTACACTGTTCTGTTCAATGAGTTAACTTATATAGGAAATTAACTAAGATTAACCATAAAGCTGCAAAATCACAACAAATAATCCTAAAAAGCAGCAATGTTCCTGCATGTAGCTGAAAGATCTTTGCCTCATGCAGTCCTGGCTGAATCCAGCCTGAACTCGAGTCACATGGCAAAAAACACCAGAAAGCACAACTGGTGTCACTAAAGGTGGCCAATCAGGTCATCAGGCAGCAACTGGAGCGTCCAACAGTCAGTCAGAGCATTGAGGGAAAAACTTTAGACCTCTGTGAATTTCACACCATCGATCCCAATCAGCATGCACATCAAGACTCACT